TATGAACAGAGGATCTTTTTCTGTCCTTGAAAATTTTTATCCTATTGAAACAAAAAATTTGCATATTCAAAGATGAATTAATTGGGCGAATATAATTTTGGAAGTAATAAATGGATTGTAAAAGTGGCATTTATGATTTGGAATTATGTAACAGTTTATAATAATTTATAATAACAATGACACGTATTTTAATCCCCAAATCGTTTGATAAGATTTCAAAATAAAATGTCGAATTTATCAAATTATAAGAAATACATTTCTATTTTTATTATCGTATTTTGTTTGTATTACTCTTCAGGTAAATTGATAACAAAGAATTTGACTTATTCATTATCAATTTCAGATCTGATAGAATTTAAAAAATAAAAAAAAATCTCTTTTCAAATTTTTAATTTCAGGAGGCGATTTGTAGAACCGCAAATACATCGGATGATTCCAGCTCTCTGTCACTTAATGGTTGATCCAAATATTGATGTGAGAGAAGTAGCAGCAAGTACATTGATTATTATATCATGGCATTTGGGTGAAAATATTTTAGCAAGTATCCGGAAACGACAGCTTATACCGGAACCAAAGTAAGTGCTTTTTGTGAAGAAAATCATATCACATATCTTAATCAAAATATATGCATTTATCATAAAAATAGAAATTTCTATTGGAACAAACTTAAGAATTGATTAAATTGCGGTCACGTAAAAATAATTAAACGTAGATAATTGCGTTGATGCAAATATTTGGTGTTAGAGTGAAAACTGCTGTTATTTTCAATAAATTATAACAATTTTCATTAATTTCAAATAATTTACTTGGAATTTAATACACACCATGGAATTTAATTCACGACAATGTCGTAGAACTGAAGGATTACCATCTTGAAAACAAAAAGATTAAATTTGATTAGGAAAATCTATGTTGTATAAAGCATCTTTAAACAATGACCATAGTAACATCACATTTATTGATGGTCATTATTTACCGGAAATGATACTTTACACTTTTATCTTCTATTTACTTATAGCTGGTTTTTCCTCTGATTTCTTCCCGTTTTCGTTTTTTAATGTAATATTTTCTCAGAGAAATGGACGGTTTAGAAGATAAATTGAAATTAAGAAGTTTACAATAATAATTTTTTCCTTTTTCCGATTGTTAGTATTACTTTTCTATATATGATCACAGAGAAAAAATTAATTGAATTGATTGAACTTTTTCTTTCGTGAGAAATAAATTCGTTAATAGTAACTGTAATGTTGAATTTCTATTAATCGGGAAGATGAAAATAAATTGAAATATGATCGATAACTAAATGCATTTTTCCTATTATCATTCTTTTATGCGCTATTAACTCCTGAAGCAATTATTATGTATGACTTGATGTTATTTATGTTTATGTGAACAAGAATTGAACTTTACTAAGTTTATTAATGCTCAGATATGAAACAATTAATAATTCCCTTTCTTATTATCAGTATTTAATAATTCCCTTTCTTATTATCAATATAGTCTTGATAATCCTCTTTCTTATTATCAATTGACAATTAATAACTCCCTTTCTTATTATCAATATAGTAGGTGCCTTTAAGAATTACAGAAATTACGCGTAATTTTACTGAAATGAAATTATTGGTGAATTTTAATTTTTTGATAAATTTTCTATTGGTTAAATTATTTTTGCATATATTACTGTAAAATTTGCTTTTTAAATATGATTTTTTTGTTAAATATCGCGTAAATGTGAATGTGATAATGCAGTTGTACAAAATGATATATGCAATTGAATGGATAGATGGAAGGCTCTTCGAAGACAAGAAGGTTACCCATCGAAAATAGTGATGAAATTATAGCCTTCCAACCTTTCTCTTATAATTATTTCCTCAAACCTTTCCCACTAGTACACTGATACTATCCAGTTCAACATGCGCAAACAAATTGACATACACATGTGCGGCTATACTAACATAAATAGGATAATTTCTCTATTACCTATTTTCTCCTCTATTTAACAAATGATGACCGTTATTATCGTTTAATACAGTTAAGATATCAATCTGAATCTTTTCTTCCTACGCTTCGTAATAATTTCCGCTTTCGCTTTTTTATAAATGTTGAGAAATTGATATTGAAATGATGAAATAATATTGAATAAGAAAATGAGAAAATGAAAGAAATCTTTTAATTTTAAGTATAAATTGAGTCAAAGGTTATACACATCCTGAACTATCTCAATTTCCTTCATCTTTTATTCTAAAGAATAAATGATAATTAATTGTAAAAAAGATGAAAAAAAAACCCTTCTCTTCCAATTATTATCGAATATGAATGGAACACATATCTTTAAAATAGAAGAATATGCGAGATTAATTATAGTATTTTGTTATTAATTAGTGCAAGAAGTGGTCGATCAACAGATGATAGAAATAGGAGGTCATTGTACGCAAAAGATAAATCGCGCGGTACGATAGAATAGTACAGGCAATCGGTTCTGTTGGCATCAAGGCATTTTGTCCTCAATCACTTTCACCAAATATTTAACATTTAAAAATTGGCATTAATTCTTCTCAATATTTTCTTCAATTCTTGATTGTATTGAATCACGTATTTTCGAATTTCCCTCTCTGAATTAACAGAAAGAAATTCGATTAGATCTATCAAAATGTCTTTTATCTAAAAATGTTATCTCTATGGATCATAACATTTGACCTATCAGTCGACAATTCAAATTAATTTTTTGGAAATTTTCAAAAAAAAGAGTCTCAAGATAGAATGCTCAAATTGATTAGAAATTTTGCTGTGAAATTTAATAAGTTCATAAAAATCAATCGAATGCATCATTTTGTTTACAGTCTTCTTTTAAATAAGCAATTGTAGCACGAATCATTATTCCATATGCTAATATTTGGCTACTTGACAAAGAGAGAGAGAGAGCAACTTTCAAAAATGTATTTGCTTATTTTAACGCATATAAAATATCTCATAATGATATGGTTGGAATGTTACTTTGTAAGAAATGATTCATTGAATGAATGAAACTTCCTTTTTTGTACAATTTTTCCATTCTCAATCAATTGGTTTCTCTGATAGGAAATGTAAGAGGAAAGAGAATGAATGATGATAAAGTACACACTTATGGTTGATATTTGCGCCAGTTGACGGTTGACACTCATCCAACTATAAATCTATCCTTTGTTAGCTGTAGAGAATATTTACTTATATTTCTTAAATTGGTAAGATGATTTCGACATGTCATAGCTAACGAATGAATGTGTATTGCATAAGAGTCACATTTCTTTTTACGTTGATTTTAGTGATAAGAGTTACATACTTTTTTTTGACTTAATGATATTCAATGATTAAACTTATTCAAATTTATTCCATAAGGAATGATTTTGTGATAAAAAGTTGGCTAAGATTAATATTTATTTTCTTTGGATATTGTGGTTACTGTAGTTGAAATTTTAAAAGTGAGAGCAATTTATTCACTTTCAAACAAAATTGAATTGTTGCATTTCCATCCTATTTGCTTATTTATTTCCTTACTGTAATCAATAAGATTAAGTTTAATAGAGAGTTACTTAGTTAAGCCTTATCAAAAAATAATATGAGAGATTGTACTAATCTTATTAGAAATTTTGGGCGAATCGAAACTTTATAAGCTATACATTTAAACTATTCATGCATGTATTAACTTCAGCTGACTTAACTATAAAAATAACATTACTGGAAACTTTGCAACTTTAAATAAAGAAAATCCGAATTATCATGATAGATATAAGATTCATGTGACATAAGGCATGTCGAAGTAATGTATTCAAATCAATTCAATAATTATAACTTGAAAAGGAGGTAATCTTCTGCCTGGTACTCTAGTTCAAAATAAAATTTGTGATAGGAAAATAAAAGTATGAACAAAGAATTTTTCTTAAAAATAGTAACTCAAATGTTGAAATAGACTGGATGTCAACATCATCAACACAAAGGTTGCTATTATATGTTACTAATTTTAGTTCTTAAACAATCACTGATTGCTTAGTAATGTTTTAATCAAATTAATTTACAAATATGGAATCTTCTTACATCTCACTCATCTTTTTCATCTCTATTTTTCGAAATTTGCTAAAAGATTCTTTAAAAGTTAAACAAATGAAAAATCAATGGGAGAAGCACTCGCCTTTCCAATTAAAATAAAATTGGTTTCCCCGCATTACCTCGTCATGTTTAACATTTACCTTTGTTGTTATTAAACAGTTCAATTTTGAAGAATCAACAAGAGTCAAATTTGGAAAGGATTGCTTTCATTTGCTGCTTACCTTTAAATCTTCATCTGCATCTTAGCATTTCTGAATCCCGAGAAGATACAAGCATTGTACTTTGAAATTTTTTAATACTTCCAAAATTCAAACTGATCTGAAAGTTTGTCGGTTAGCTTCCCACGAACAGATTTATTGAAATTTCTTTCAAATTTATTTGTTAAATCAGCAATTTTCAAGAAAGAATAAAGGAAGTTTCTCTTCCAAGCAGGTTGTTTTGCGATGCTGTGAACCGTGCAGGACCCTCAATCAATTGTGGAAGTTGAGATAAATTCATATCTAATGTTGAATTTGACATGATATCCCTTGGGGTTTTGGTCTCAAGCAAGCCTTGAAGATAGTCAGTCCTACGAAATGACTTGGCGAAGTCAAGTGGTCTAGAGAAACATCCAATGAATAAACACCCATTTCATTAAGTGCTATATCATTAATCAGTGTAATGTGCCTTACAGACGTAAAGTACCGTCTCAAGGATTAATTTACGATTTCGTAATCAAACCTTGGGAATTTTAAGCTCGAATTCACTGCTTATAATGATTAACTTATTAACTTATTTAACCAGTTCTCACGACAATCACATTAAACAATCTAATAATAATTTTCATGTATTGATAAGGCGATGATCGATCCCTTTGTCAAATCTAAATATTATCAAAGGAAGGATTCTACACCTAACGCACTCACTTCAGGTTTCAAATGCTGATGACACGTTTTAACGAAGCGCAAATGAATGGGAACTATGCATCCAGCAACACACCAACTACATCGCAACGTATCGGACGACCTTCGCAGCGACCACAGCTGCCGCAAAAACCTCGATTAACTCCAAGATGTAAGTTGAAGATAGCACAAAGTAAGAAAGGAAAGGGCTCTACAAGATAAATCTCAAAAGAAAACTGGAAGGATGGATTTCGTAATCATATCTTAGGAATATTAAGTTCGAATTCACTGCTTGTAATGGATTAACTTATTAACTTATTTAACCAGTTCTCACGACAGTCACATTAAACGATCTAATAATTTGCATATATAAAGCGATACTTAAGATAACTGCAATAGATCGTCCTCATTTTCATTTTGTCCCGGTCGTTTGTTGCTGTGTAATATTGTGTACCTAAAGATCAAGGGTCAGTGACCTGTTTAAGAAGGCATGGATTTTCTCCATCTATTATTGAGAGGTAGTAGATGCTTGGCCATACATCTGACTACAGCACTTCTCCACCTAAATGTATTACTCCTTTCGCCAACTTCTACCGTCCACCCAGCCATCTATATAACGACTCTTTCGATTTTCTTTCTAAGACCTTTTAAAATTAAATTTGCGCGCTCAATTAATAGAGGCGGTAAAATTCAATTTGCTGCGTGGCGTTTGCATGCGGTGGTAGGCAGGTTGCCATTTTTTTGGTCCAGTAGTAAGCTGATCATTTCTGAGAGTGGACTGAACAACTTGTGAGGGAATAATTGCAAGTCATCCGAGCTTAGATTAAATTTCCTTCGAACCTGTTTCCACTTATTTAACGATTTCAAGAAAGCATTTGAAAATTCGGTTTTTAAAACTTTTTCAATCTGAATTGTTTGATGAACATATTTGTAATGTTCCAAATGATGACAAGAAATAATATTGTTTTCGGCACAGGTTGATAAGATTGGAAATCTCTTCCAACTACGTGACGTGAACACAGAAGAGATAATAGAGATGAAATAGTATAAGACAGAATTTGGTTAGAGTCAAGTGATACCTTTTTTTTTCTTCCTTCTACAGCACCCTCAATTGTAAATGCGTTCGGCATGATATATGTTAGATCCTGTAATGTTACATTCTGATTTGCTCTCTTCTATCCTCACCGTATATCTATACAATCGTAAGAATTATCGTCTTCACCACTACCCATCTGAATTTATGCAGTTGTGTGATTGGCGTTACACGCTGTTCATAAAGATCGTCGGGTTATCTATTTACATATCTTTTTAGACATTCCCTATCACCTGATCTAAGTGCTCAGTAGTAGGCTGTGTCGTTTTGGTTTCTGCGAAGTTACTGGTCTTTGTTATCTTTTATCATACTACGGATGCAAATCAGCTTTTGAAAGAAATAAGGGAGATAGGCTGACTGCTAGTCTTATGAAAGCCTATTAGCGATATCATTCTTGTGGTGAATAAATTAAGAGCGAATTTTTTAAATAATTTAAGTCGTGGGTTGTTGCTATTGTCAATAAAATAAACGAATACGTGAAACTCTTATTTTGCCGTTCACTATCTATAACTATTATTTTCGTTCATTTCCATCAAAATTTCAGAGATACTGAAAATATTTTGAACAACAATCGCATGTTTAGGAAACCTTTAATCACATCTGCTATTGGTAAGGTGTTTATAATATTCTAATAGCTTTTCATACTTGAAACGCTCAAGTTTGTTCGTTCACTGAAGGGAGGAAAGGATATATTAATAGCACAAAAATTAATTAAATAGCTTAGATTGTTAAAGATGTATTGTGGAGATTAAGGAATCCGCGGATGTCATGCAGTGTCTGAGAGTCATTTTTTTTGGAGATTCCAAGTTTATTTCATCAACAAGTATCATAAAATAGTTAATACTGAAAGTTTTGTGGTTTGTTTTACAATCCAAATTTCGATATTGGATTTATCCTCTTGGAATTTGATTTTTATTTTTAGTTCTGAAAATTTCCTCCTATGTCTGTCGGCATTAGCTAATTTTGTATGGTTGCTGTAGTTGAATAGCACGTTGCAGTTTGCTACAAATTTCTGTTTTCCAAATATTTTCTTCTGCGAGACATTTAAGGAGACAAAATTTTTTTCTATACAAATTTTTGGAAAAGCTTAAAACCTGTTATTAATGAAGAGGTTTTTTTCAAATAGATAGTGAACTGGTGCATTGATATATCTACTTGATATTAATATATCTGGAGCGAATCTTGTTCCCTTTGATCAACTTTTTTTAGTAGTTATAGCAGCATTTAATTGTGTTTATTTCAATAGCTAACTTAACGGCTTCCACTTTTTAAATAATTTTTCTACCTAATGTTCTGACTGTTACTACAGGTATGATAGAGAGTAGAATGATTCCAAAATGATTTATTTCTTTCTTTTTTAAATCGATTTCTTAACTCAGCGACTTCAGAATTTTCATTCCAGTTGCATATAACACATTACAGTATTAAATTTTTGTCCCATAATAACAATTGTCAGCATTGATTCCAACTAATATCGTTTTGGATTATTGCAGTCATTTCATTAATAACCATGTATTACTGACAAAACGGATTTATTGATTTTTTGCTTCAAAGCGATCAATTATAAAGAGATGGTAAATTTTCATGAGTGACGTTTATACAATGGTTGTAGTAATAGTCTCACACATTTTCTGCTATAAGCTACGCATTTAATATTAATCAATGTGTGAAAATAATGAATTGTTGTAAATTTGCTATGACCAAGCATGTATACTCGACTTCATCAAACAAAATATAGATTTTGAATGTATGGGTGTTTTTATAGATCTCCAACTAATGCAGTTCATTATTTCTGCCATTGCTTTATCTTTCACATCCCTATTCATTTTTAAGATTCGAAATAACTGATGTCTGTACGTTTTGTTTGTAAATCTGCTTTTGTATGTCTCCGTACGTTTGATGTGTTTCATTACATATACGTACAGGCCTATTTGTACATGGACCCATGTATCCTTACGTGTACGCAGTGATGTGTAACGGGATGTGGCCGCACTCGTCTCTTCCTCTATTTTTTGTTGGTTTTAGGTGTATCGTTGGCTGCAAGATGCAGCAGGAATGAATGTTTCAAACCCTTCTCATTCCATCTTCTCTTCTGTCCTTAAGTGTGTGATGTACCCGTCGTCTCTTTTTCTTATCCGTGCACACCTCCATCGGTTTATTTATTCGAAGAAAGCACTACCCTTGGTACTGGGAGAATGAGAGTGCAGGGGTGTAGTATAATATTGTAGTATTCTTTAATTTTTGAAGAAAAACTGTTGGATAAGGGATTTTGGGGAATTTTTGTGCTTAATGATGAAAAGTTGGACGAAATTAGCATATTATTTCTTTCTTAGCGAACCGGGGCATGGTTGGCTCGCGTAAGGGACAGCTATTGGAGGAGCAAGAAAATTCGACTTCAATACCAGCATGGCAGCGAGCGAGCAGTGTACCAGCACATAAAAGACCACTTATTGTTTCTGCGAAGGGATCTAGTAAGTTCCCATTAATATCGATTTCATCTATAGCTCATACAACAGTAACAGATCTGAGGTAGCCCGTTTTGGTTGTTGGTATCTATCTTGTAAAAAAAATTAACCTTACATTGCTGACGCTGCAGAAGACAAGATACATCAATCATTCTCTTCCTTCAACAATAATACCATGCCAAACCATATCCTGCCATTTATCTTTACTGCTTTTTTCAGGTAGTGCTGGTTCTGTAAGCGATGAAGCCTTCCAACAGGCGTTTACTGAAGTCCCGAAATGCAACGTATGTATAATAATTTTTCTTTGCAAAGATATATTAGATTGCCTGCCATCTTATTGCTTTTTAGTATAAGAAATGAAATCGACTATACAGCCATTTTTCTGGCCCAAAGTTTGAGGGTTTAATGTATTAATATATTTATCTAGTAATAAATTACCAATCAAAGCACAAAATGTATTACTTTGGAGATATTCAAATAAAGGATTTGAAAATATAGATATTTTCGTCCAAGCAACTAAAGGATCAGATCGGCGAAATATGTGCAGTTCTTGAAAACACAGATGTAGTTTGGAGTCGTCGTATGACTGCGGTGAGTTATTTTGGAGTTCTTTGAAGTTTTCAGTTTTTGTGGAAAATTGAAAATTTCAGAAAACTCCAGAACAGTTTTGAAAATTTGGTTGAGAAGATTTTCTATGACATCTATCTCTGTTTTAAAGAACTTGAAGATTATTATGTTATTTTGAGCACTTAAATTACAGTTGAAAACATTGCGTGCATTGATTATTGGCGGAGGCTTGGACTACTCGGACTTCTCAGAAGAAGTACGTGAAATGCAGGCAGCTCTACTCACCTCCGTTAAAGATTTGCGGTCGCAATTGTGTCGCGAAGCATGCGTTACCATTGCGTAGGTTACTTTGTTTGCTTTTGTTTGTTTAATGAAAATATATAGCAGCTGTTTCCTAGCTAGTAAAGTAGTTTTTACTTTATTCATTCTATCATATTCTCTATGCACTTAAGATTATCTACTTTACATAGTTTTCTGCAATAAATTAAATATTTTAACTTGCTTAGTAAACAATCAGATGTCTATATAATCTTGATCAAACTAATAGTGTACAATAGATGAATGTATGAATGTACAATAGATCACATACTTTTTCAGTTTCTACTGCGAAAGATTAGGGCTTGTGATGGTTAGCGTAATAGAAGCGCTCATGCCAACGCTTATTTCATTAATGCAGAATAGTGCCAAGGTTAGTGATTTTTTGTGTCATATATTTATTAAAGTCGAATTTTTTGTTCTTCAACTTATAATCATTGTTATATACATCTCTTTTTCAAGGTAATGGCAACAAGTGCGCAGCTTGCTTTACAGTACGTTGTTAAATATGTATGTAGTGCCAAATTACTTCCTCATTTGCAAACTGCAATGTCTTCAAAGTCAAAAGAGATTAGAAGGTAAATTCAATTTGCATTTTATGGGAAATCAATTGGCAATTGAAATTAATTTCTTGAAAATTTCCAAAAGTATTGCTTATTGTTTCATTGTTTCAGGAACACCGCATCATTGCTTTTAATAGCGCTAACTCTTTGGGATAGCAGAACAGTAGAAAAGAACATGAACATTTTTTTAGAATGTATCAAGGTAAGAAAAGGATGTTTAAAAAATGTATTCACACTTTTTTAAGTTGGTTAAAGATTGATTGATAAAAAAGAAAAGCTAATTTTTTCAGGCAAGTATAAATGATGCTGATCCAGAAACGCGCAGAACGGGTCGCGCACTTTTCATGCAGCTAGATCAGGAATACAAGAAGCAAGCCGATATGCTTTATAAAGTTAGCTTTCACAGTTTATCCAAAGTTCAATAAGTTTAAATCTTAGTTATTTTTAACATCATTAGATTGCTAAAGCAGAAGGTAATGAGCTAAACCAATGAGCTAAATCTAAGAATATTAGAATCAGCTTCAGGTATAGAAAATTAAATATTACGATCGAAATCTTTAACGTACATCATTAATCCAGAGCTAATGACATTTTCTCAGGCATTTTTTTCATTAACATTTGAATATTATATTATTCTTGAGGAAAATCATGTTATTATCTTCTGTAAAATTTGCAGACTTTGGACCCATCAAGACAGCGAACACTGTCTGGCTTTGTATCCCAGTCATCGTCATCACAATCAATTATTTCTGAGCGAGACGCTTTACCTATTTCACAACGAAATGCTGCTTATGTACTACATAAAGGTATTGCTTATTGTCTTTTATATTTTTTCTCTTATTTTTCACTCATGCGTTATGAGTTTAAAATTATTCGCTTAAAATGGTTCTGTAGGTGGGCGTGATCGTTAATTGATTATTGAAATGAGAATTTCTCTTCTTATAAAATAGATTCTCTTTTTAGATATTGTTTTTAAAACGTTGGAGAATTCGTATGATAACTTTATTACTCATTTTATTAATTTATTACAACTGATAATTATAGCAAGTCCCTCATACTACGCTGGACGTTCGACGTCTGATATAGATCCTGGTGCAGTGAGACGTGTCACAAATCGTGCTGTACGAACAGCTTCTAAGCCTCTTCAGCAAGTAAATGGCACCCCATCAAGTAAATTTTAGAATATCATGTGTCTTTTTTCAAGTTTCAAAAAATCCATAGAAGTTCATATACTGTATATTTTAAATAAAACATCTTTTTAATGCTTTGCAATGACTAACTTAAGGTATTTTTTTGAATTTATAGCAACTCAAATGAGGACAAGTGCAGCCCAACGTTTGTCATCAGCATCACAGAAGTTCGTTTCATCGTTACGCCGTGTACCGCCAACACCAACAAATTATGTTAGATCTCAGCGTATGTTTTTCTTTTAGTGGTAGAATGGGATAAGCATGCATGATATTTATATAAATTATCGCCATCTTATAGTTATGGAGGTTTGCGCGTCTGTAGCTGTTATATAAATCTCCATGACCATAAGAATATATACCAGATGTAATGAATCATCATTGAAAATTTCAGCCGGTAGTCGAAGTACTTCACCAGCTTCTCGTTTCCCTGCACGCGTTCCTCCTCGATCACAAATGAGTAGTCGAACGGTAATAGACTAATATTAGTTGTTTCGTTAATTAGTTTCTGTTCATGGAATTTAAACTTCGACAAATATTTTGGCGGAATTAGTCAGAAATTAATTTCGAAATTTTCAGAAAATTCAGATAGACGAGTCAGAAGATCATGCTTCTGTTAGCAGTGATTCATTTAGGTTTGTTTCTTACGAGGTTATTTCATGCATTCTGTTTTCTCTTAATTGAGAACGAAAGTAGATCTACCTTTCCAATATTTAGATTAAGGAAAAATTAGGAAATCAACCGAAATTCAATATTTTCCAAATGTCTATTAACTTCAGATTTTTCTGTTCAGTGAAGTGCTACAAAATTCAATAAAATCGCCATAATAGGTTTGAAACGATGGAGTTAGCAACTGCGCTTTCTTGTTGTGGCTTATCCTCTACCACAGAGAAAAAGGAAGGCTTAAAAGCACTGTTCACTATTATTTCAAGTGACAAACAAATTAATACAATGGATTTGAAGAAAATCGTTGAACGTTTAAATCCATTGATCGGCGAAGGTGCTCATAAGGTAGGTAACTTTGAATCTTTCCGATAAATCATTATATGTAAGTCGTGGAATTCCAAAAAAAATTTTTCTAAGAAAATCGTTCAAGATAGTTTGATTGTTATCTAAATTAGATCGCTCAAGATCAACATTGAGAATTCGAAAGCAAATATGTTTCTTATTACTTCTTTTTACTTCAGCTTTTGCAACCGCTTGCGGATACATTGATAGCTTTGGTACGTCGCTATCATGAGGAACTGAACGAATGGTTGAATTTGTTGATACCAAAGCTAGTAGCCAAATGTTCTACTGATGTTCTACCTAGTAATCTAGAAAAATATCGAATTATGACGGAAGCTGTGCGGACGAGTTTTGATCCAGAAAAACAATTACACGCTGTTTGCAAGTTTATCCGTGACCCGGTGCGGAATAACGTTAACGTCAAGGTAATACATATTTAAAGCAATTATCGAAAAATGACATAATAAAATGTTTTAACCTGCGGAATGGAACCAAGAGAGAATGTCCGACTTCTTAGCTTGTTATTCTGATTGCTTCCTCGGATTTACAGTTCTTTAGTCAAAAATAAAGATTTGCAGATAAAACATGGATTACTGATGTATTTGCATGATTTAATGCGCGGCATGGATTCAGCTCCATCGATGAATCAAAGTGAAGTTCGACAGGCAGTTAGTAAAATATTCCAGTGGATTGACGATCCAAAAAATACCTGTTTGATATCGGTATTATTTTCGAATTTTGCAGATATTATTTATTGCTTTTATGGGGTAAATTTATATGCATTTTATTCTCTATGCAATTTGATTTTCCAAGTACTGATTTAAACAGCTGGGAGAACCATTGTTGATTGCTTCAAAATTCAACGTGATACTTTACTGCTTATTCTGTTTATTGTTATGTGGTATTGTTTGAAATGTTCCGGATGCTAAATTTTGAATGAATAAACTGGAGGAAAGAAATTCGGGCAGATAGGCCGTAGTCTGGTCAGTATTGTTTTTGCTAAGGCAAAGTTTGGTTTTTTGGTATGCCGTTATTTTACCCAAGTATTTAGCTTCTTACTTTAGTGTTTCAAATTCAACTTAATTTGAATTTTGTGATCTTTTTATAGATCAGCGAAAAGATCGTGTGTGACATGTTCCATCTAAATGCCAGTGACTTTACTTCAATGCTTGCTACTTTTCCAAATGACCTGAAAGATCGGTTGCAAACTATTATTCGTAGAAATAGCTTTTGCTTATCAGCCAGCAATGGGATTAAGTATATTTTAATAATTTTTCATTCTGAAAGAAAGAAAGCTAAAAATATTCAATGTTTCATTTATTTAGCTTAGCAAAATTTATTTACCATGGTTTTTTTTACCATTGTTTTTGAATTTTTTAATCTATTCATTGTCCATAATACATTTTAGTTGTTTTGAATATCGTCTGTTAAATTACTGCAGGCGTATATCAGGAGTAGAATTTAATGCACCAATTTTTTAGTATTTACAAAAATTCCACTATTTCAGCTCAAACGAAGCACGGGCGGGTATATTAGAAACAACAGCACAGGTAGCGTTTGATTTTTTCCATAAATATTCGTTTCAAATGTGCATTTAAATTTTCAGGTTGTCAGTTTATAAATTACAAACTTGATTTATTGCAACCCAGATTTTGCGATCTATTTATAGATTAATGATTTTGTTGATCGACGAGCAGGTTTACCTATGTCATCTCCTCGTGTATCACCTCAGCTAACGAATGATTCACTTCGCAGCTCATTTGATGGCACTCCATTGCGACGCACAAGCCGTGAGGATCAGAATGGAGTTCGTTTGCCAACTCTTTTTATTGATTTTCACTTCAAATGTAGTTTTATTGTAGCTCATCTAAATTTCAGAAAATACCTTAACAGCTGTTACGCTATGTCGTCCAAATAGTTGAACTACTGTTCAATAGCATCTTTTTACATTTAGAATTTTCGAGACCATTTATTGTAATTATTAAAGGATTTTCAGTCGTTATCTGGTTATATTTTGGATCCGCAAGGTTTCGCGAATGGTCTAGAACAACAGGAAGAATTAATAACCAAGATAGGAGAGGAACTTTCACTTCATAATCAAAGGTTTTTTTTCGGGAAGCTTAATTCTCATGAATTGCATTTGTTCTCAATCTTCGGTTTAAAAGATAATTTCGTTATGTTTGTGTGGTTTGCAGAAGTGAGGAGCGTCAGAGGGCAATGTCAGTACTTTCGCAGATCACGCGTGATAATTTATTTTCCCTTTGGGATAAGCATTTCAAAATGATATTTTTATTACTCATTGAAACACTCAAGGATAACGATGAAAATATTCGTCGAATGGCATTAAAACTTTTAAAGGAAATTTGGTACGGATAATTTCCCTGTATATTATAAGAGCATCGTTGAATTTGTAGTCTTATCTCCTTTCGAGGTTTTATTTTTGACTTTTGAACTTTAAGTTTAAAGTTTAGGCTACTTCAATTTTTCAGTTATGCACAAGCTTCCCGTTTCAATGAATTTGCGGAAATGGCGCTAATGCGTGTTCTCGACGCTTGTACGGATGAGTCGAAGCTTGTAAGTATGAAATTTCACCATTAAATTTTAACATGCAACGTGCGCAAACATATCACTTTTATTGTTAATTAAGCTTATTATCAAATTTTATGTTGGCTGTATTAGCGAAGCTTGGCACATTATCACTTCAAAACATCAATGTAAGAAATGTAACAGTTGTAACTGGCACGAACTTATATGATTTCATACTGTGTAACATTGAATAGATTAGAATAACGTACTGCCTTTTACTCAAAAAGAGTTGGACGGTTATTTTGACCTCTTGAGTGATGGTAAAAAAGTGATGATGCTGAGGCATTTATTTGATGTTTTCTTGAAAAATAGAAAGTATATGATTTCAGTAATAATTCTTTCAAAATTTAATTGATGATTGGTTTTTTTGAGGTAGTAACAGCGGCAGAAGAATGTGGCAGTGTATTAGCTACACATGTTTCATCGGCAACATGTCGACGGGTGCTCCTCGCCATTATAAAATCAGATGTTGGCGAACCAAAAATTCATATTGCTATCAAATTGTTGACAAAAGTGATTGAATCACTTAGTGCCACTGAGTTAGAGTTGATCCTGGATGAAGTTGCACCACCAATTGTTGACGTTAGTTTTTGAAGATATCGATAGCCTAATAGGTCAGTGAGAGTTACTTATTTGTCTCCTACTTTATTTCGTCAACCGTTAATGTTTGTCGTCTACATGTATCATTTTTAAAATAACTAACTAAGCTCATATAATTTTGCTTTGCTTGTTAATATTTTATTTTCAGACATATAATTATGTGAGTAGTTCAATTCGTAAAGAAAGCGTTGTATGCTTAGTGGCAATGATTATGCTTGTAGGAGAAGAACATATGGCACCGTATTTATCAGAACTTAATAAAGGAAAAGTAAGTTTTTTTTCCCTCGTAAAACTCTGAAATCTATTTCAAACAGCAGGGAGTGGTTTACAAGTTGTTGAGAAAAGAAAAGAAAAATTGACCCGATATTTGGCTATTGATTTGGTAACTTTTTGGCTGATATTGATTGTAATTAGTATAATAAAGATTTAATTTTGTGAATAAATGTTAAGAAACGATTTTTGTAGCAGAAGTTAATAGAAGTTTATGTGAACCGTATGAAAGGAATATTCCAATGACGGAGCCGAAAAAAATCGAGTGTAACCGTGCATTGTATCCTCATCTGATTGTTATGATGTTCAAAGCGCTTTTGAAAGTTTTTGTGATGATTTATCGAAAACTGGTTGAAAATACAGCAAAACAAGTCATTTTTATAATGAAGGATTGATGTTTAATCTTTTAAATTTTATAGCAAGAAAATGTACTATGGAAATTATTTTGCGACTTTTGCTAATTTTTGCTTTCTTGCTCACTTGAGCTGTGAATGTCAGCTTTTAAAATTATTCCAGGTTATGTCCTAAATTATTGTTAACAGTAGAAACAGGAAGTTGAGGTGATGTGAACTTCATGGCTCTCAGAAAACTAGGTGTGTTCGATGGGTGTTTAGAGCTTCGATAAATATCTTTTTATTAAATTATTCGCGACTGATATGTACTCCTTTTCGGGAGGCAAGTTTAATAGTGCTAGCCTCTCATTTCATCGTCTTTTATCGTTAATTTTTGCTAGAAATTGTGAAATTTCAAGAACAAATTCATGTTTCATTTCTTTCATTGTTGCATTTGATGCTATGGATACTGCTGTTAGCGAACTCTTGTCGAGTTCATTATTTTATTTTCTCAATAGTTTCAAAGGGAACTACTACTCTTCAGTTCTTATTATATATTGTATCCCTCAATGTCATCATGTATTTTTTTCCTGGAGAAAAAGATGACTTGAGATTTTTAGCAGAATTTGGATATTTTGGTTAATCATGGAATGTTTTTATGATATACTTCACAAGTTTGTAAAATATTTTATTTTGTGATCCTTGATAAACTTGACAAACTTGTAAATTTTGTATTTCTTAAAATAAAATATTCAACGAACATTTGGTTTGGTGCCATCAAATTGCCTGTTGGCTAAAAGGTGTAAAAGAAAGAGATTTATGTTTTATTTCTTTCTTCTCAAAATTGCACCGAAATATCAGAAAAATTGGTGTCAATTATTGGTCGCGCTTTATTCAAATTGAGGCCTTCAAACAGTCGGTCTCAATTTATGCATGGGAAAGCATGACAAAAGCTCAGGAAGCTCGGATTTCTTTCCTACCATCTAGTAGGAAAAAAAAGGATAGTATTCATCTTAATTATCATCACTTATGTTCCGTTCCATATTTCCATTTTTTCTGCTCTCTGTATCTTTTGCAATGTTAATTCAAGTGAAATGAGTGGAGTTTTTGAAAAAAGATGAACGTGAGTTAGTAAATCACGTTTTTATCTTTTTCTTAGTTCTTTATTAGGAATTATTGTTGTTCCGGCAACTTGTTTCATTTGGCAGTTTCACGCAAATGTCCTGTAAATCAACAATACCAACATCATACCATCGTTCCGGTTGACCGTACTTTGTTATAAATTCAAATGGTATCGATTTCTTGTAACGTTGGCTACACTGAAAAGTTCAATTACAATTCAGATAGAAGAAAGTTAATTAAATTAAGCAATCAGTTAGAGATATTGCTTTTGTTCCAGACTTTCAAAGAAAAGTTAACAACTCTAATCAAAAATGCCACATAAAATGATTGAACATGAACAAAATTAAACCTTAATTCCGCTTGATTGGTCAACTTTGACATGAAAAAATGGTCTAACAATATCAGTTGATATAATAGTTGCTTTAAGCTCAAACCATCCTGTTGTATTTGTTCTAGTAATTGCCAAAGTTTGCTCATCCGCTAAAAAGTTAATTGTAATTAAAATATCGTATATATTTAATAAACATCTTATATGCCACTCAAAAATCTCTCAAATTAATAAATAAGGAAAAGTATTCATTTATGTTTAAGTATTTATTTAAATATGAAATGAAAGAATCAACGAAATAAATTTGTCGAAATAGCATTTCATTTTCCTAATTAACAATTTTGAAACAAATAATAAATGGTTGAAATAATTAATAAGAAAGAAATACTTAACAAATCTTACTATTTTTTTTTAAGAACCATACTGCAAATAAAATTATATTTTTTGAAATAATTAGTAAAAATATAAATAAAGCTATATTTAAAATTAATTAATAAATTAGGAAACAAAAAAAAGTGTGCTGTAAATAAAACAGCATTTTAAAATAATTAATAATTAATAAGCTATTGATTAATAATTAATTCTAAAATGGATGTAAATTTTCATCTTCTAAAAGTAAAATCAATAATCTGTTGAAAATTTATATTACAAAAAAAATCATTCTAATAATACAAACCGAATCTGATATTTATGCCTAAAATGACTACTGTATTGACCACATCTTTTTCATCACATTTCAATTGTCCTCGGATTGCTATGGTCTGCATCATTTCCGGAATTCTACCGGATTCCGTTACAGTATAAAATATTGTTAATAATAACAATGAGTGGTGAAACATTTCCTGAAAACGATAAAATTTATGAGAGTTATAATATCAATTAATAATTCTTCGCTTCCGTAAAAAATTGCTAAGTTCAAATACTTGAAAAATTGAATTTTAGAAATTAGAATTCAAAAAATTGATAATTTAATTTTTCTTGAAATATTGGATTTGCTAGAAAGATGACCCGACCCACATATAAATTAAATCATGAAAGTTTTTTATAAATGCCATATTAGGTAGGTATTTATAAATATCTCGGGAGTAATACCTCGAAGCGTTTATATTACTTTTCACGAGATTACCTTCTCACATATTCTTCACTTGTATTTGTACTTGTATACAGCGTCATTTTGATGACAATCATAAAACCAATGATGTTAATTTTCATTTATCTATGATTCAGACAATATCTATTTCTAGTTAGACTAAATGAAATTAACTTTTATACTCTAATTTCTAATCACATACAAATCTTTATTTCAATAATCATTATCATATATGAAGTATTGATTAGTAAGTGCATAGAGTAAAATAAATTTCATGTAATTTAAGATATTAAATCAAATTGACTAAAAAGTGAAAATGATGTATCCGTTGACAAAATTGTTCAATTTTATTGACTACGTATGTGTATTTAGTTTCGTAATGATGTAGTAGAGTGTATATGTAGCAAATTTCTTCTAATGTAAGCTAATTGCGCTTTGCTTTATTAGCATCATCAATCAATCATTTTAACCTCTTTAACACTTACCGCTAAAACATAGAAAAGTTTTAATTAAAGAAGGAAATACATTAAAAGTATAGGAATGGGTTAAATACAAAAAAGAAGCATCTATATAATTCAATGGTGAAAAGTTATAGGAAATTGATTAGAATATTTGAAGTTGAAGTTAAGCACATCTGCGCTTAATAATAATGTAGCGATGATAATATGGGGAAGTTGTTAATTTAAGTGAGAGAGAGAGAGGGAGAGAGAGAGGGAGAGAGAGAGAGAGGAAGAGAGAGAAAGAGGAATGCTAAAAATTTATGATTTAAACAAAAATCAATTAGAAAGAAAGAAAAAAAGTTTTTAATCTTTCATTTTTATATTTCAAAATGTTTCATTTCATTCGTTGAAAAACTTTTAAAAATTAATTTTCAAAATTTATTTTTAGCGCCAACACAATTAAATTCATTGTGTAACTTTTAATTACAAAATGCAATATTATTTCATCATTAGTTAAAATTGATTTTCTTTTTTTAAAAAAAATTCAATTAATCAATATGCATATTATAATGCACCATGTGGCCATTTCATATCATGTCGTCGTGATTTTGGTTTCTTTCGTTCACTGAAAAAGTTAAAATGCAATTGATTCTATGTAATTGATTCATTTGAAAAATATTATCATTCCTTCATTTCATTCCTGCAAAACTTTTAAATTTATTCAATTCCTAAATTGAAATGAATTGAAATTAATTTAATTCCTAAAACTGAAATTAATAGAAATTAATTTAATTCATAAACTGAAATTAATAGAAATTAATTCAATTCAATAAATTGAAATGAATTGAAATTAATTAGTATGAAGTTATAAAGATAAATACAAAAGCACTTTTCTTTTCAAATACTTACTTATCAGTTTCAGGTAACTTTTTGTGTATTCGTGACTTTCTTTGTTTCTCTCTTCGTTTGTGATGCTTCCTTCGTTTTGTCTTACTCTGAAAAATTCACTTTTAAAAATATTCATCAAAATTAGCTAAAATAAATTAATAAATGGCAACAAGCATATTTTCATGGCAGAATATTTTATTCCAAATTATTATTATGGCGTTGATGTTAAATAACAGTTTGTGCTTTTCGCTTTTCTTCTTATTTCTTTAACACAGATTAATTTAAATAACGATGAAAAATAATAAATGAAGAAGTGGAACAGTTTAAGTTGAAAGAAAACAAAATTTCTAGAGAACTAAGTCTAAGCCTAAGCTTAAGCATAAACTCAAAAAACCTAATCCTAAGCCTAATAATTAATACCAAAATAAAATACCTGAGAAATGATACTTCGTATAGGTTCATTCAAATCATCTATGTCCTCTTTTGATTTAATTCTCTCTGTAGAACCATATGATTGTTGAATCTCTGAATATGCCGAAGATTTACGTTCTATCATATCTTCCAATTGTTTTACTACCTGTAAGTCGTCTTTCGAAGTTTCAAAAGGTATGCGCAGAATTTAATTTATTAGTTAAATAATCAAGAACAGTTGAAATGGAAATTTTTCGAAAATAAATAAATGAGGCGTCGGAAACTTATTAGAAATTATGGAACTTATGGAAATTATGGAAATGTAGTTTTAAATAGAGCAGATATCTCTGATTAATTTAATGTTTGGAAAAATCTCTGTTATTCATTTGAGCATTAGAAGTTGTATTGTAAGTTTGGTTGGATATCATTGAGATCTCTTTGAAGTGATTCTACTGAGCGATTAAAATAAAGAGATATGGAAATCATTGGATTAACCTCTGACATCGTGCATCGATTATCCGGATTTTGATTCCAACATTTTTCCATTAAATGATACATAAAATCGGGACATCCTTCCGGTTTTTTTAAGCGTTCACCGCATGAGATCTACGAAAGGAAAAAAGGAAATGAAAATTTTCTATATTACCGTATTCTCAACTATCGTCTGAACGTTAACAACATATTTAAATGAGGATAAAATTCTCTCTACATTTTAATTAAAAAACGAACCATTCGTTTTACTTCGATACTTGTCATCCCTTTATATGGTTCTTCACCATCCGAAAAAATTTCCCATAGCAAAATACTATACGAGAAGACATCCGTTTTAGGCGTATACTGATATGTTACCATACTTTCTGGTGCTGTCCATTTCAATGGTACTTTTTTGTTCCCTTTTGACATTTCATAAAATTCACCATATCTGGACATTCCAAAATCACTAATTTTTGCTACCCGATTTTCCGTATATAGCACATTACGAGCTGCAATATCTCGATGAATGATTTTTTGCGAATGGATATATTCAAGACCACGGGCTGATCCGAGTGACATATTTTCAATTTTTTCATTTTCATAAACATTTCCTTTTCGAGATTCCAATACATCTGTTAAACAGCCACCGTTTATCTGAAAAGATTCGTTATCTCAAGATAATGCAATCTTGCATTTCCTACATTTAGCAATGATATCATTTAATCACTTTAAAATTTAGCTATAAAATTCTACTTATAAAAAAAATGATACTGTAAGTTTAATTAAACCATTTCAATGATAATCATTAATGGTTCACGGCAAACAGCAACTCCATGCATCTTAATAACATTTTCATGATCAAAATATCGCATTAATCGTGCTTCGTGCATCATTTCCTTTATTTTTTCCTTAACCTGTTGTATATGCTTCTTATCACTTATTGTTTTTGCCTAAAAATATCTGATAATTAATATGCTAAGTAATTTTAATTTCTTAATAATAGAGTTTAAATTTTGAAAATCTTTTTAGCGTATGAATTTGCTATAAATTTCCAACAATAAATTATAAAATTATCAAATAGAAAATGATTGGAGTTATATTTGATCGCTTTCTTTTTATATCCTTCATATTCATAGCATTGTAGAACGATGTAAAAAATTTGTAGAAAATTTCAAACAGTTACAATTTTAACAGCTACAGGTATTTTTTTGCCATCAATTAATGCTTCAGCTGCTCGAACTTCACCAAACTGTCCTTCTCCAAGCATATTTTTTAATGTAATATTTTCATGTAGAAATTCCCACGATTGTCGTGCTATTGGTCGAATTAATTGAGATGTTTTAATCTATAAAATTAAAAAAAATAAATTTTATCAATTTTATTTTTGCAAAATTTTATAATAAGGATTTCTGTAATTTTCTGGAAAATATGTAAAAGAATTTTTTAACTTCCCAATATCTTCTAAAATATTTGAAGTATGTAAAAAGGAAGCCAAAATTTAAAGCTTTCAAAAAACTCATCAGTATAGCCTCCGTTATAGTAGTAGCGAAATTAAAGTATAATTTACAACAATTTCCAATTCTTATTTGATATTGCAAAATGACAGGAATATTTGCATAGCATAAAATACCTCAGGATTGATTGGTTTCTTGCCAGAGACATATGTATCAATGAGTTCTTTAAGAGAATTAAATCTATTTTCTTGACTTGTTAGCCATTCAATTTTGCCATCCTTTCCTTTCATTCGATGTATTACTACATGTCTAATCTATAATTTATTTTTAATTAAAATTAAATTTTAAAATTAGATTTATGGCGCATTTTTTTACGAACGATACTGTATAAAAACCATTGATTACAATTATAATTTTATACTACGATCGTTTAAAAATTTTCATTACATGCACAAAAAATTGGGATTTAATTTAAAATTAAGCATATCAGATTTGTTAATCAATTTAAAAAAAAAGAAGACTATTTTGGACATACTGAAGCTGGCGAATTTTTGTCGGAAACACGCAACGATAAAACAAGTTCACATGGATCACCTGGTTTCAACTGAGTAATTCGAATTAGAAAATCTCCCACCTACAACATAGGGGTTCATATTTTATGAGTTTAGTACAAAGTTGCTTTTTCGTCTTAAAATGTTGGAATTACAGGATTACTATCAAACAGGAAAAGAAATTACTAGCAATTACACTGTTGTTAAAGAATGGAAAAGGATTAAAACAAGGAATTAAGAAAATATGCTTAATTAAATTAATTAGCAAACAAAATTTAGCTTTAAATGTCATCATACCCTTTCTAACTAAGAGATTAGTAACGAAAAAAGTTAAAAAGATATTTCTTCAGTCTTTTTTTTTTTAAAATAATAACCTGCTCTAACAAATACGGGAGATCTTCACGAGGAAGGAATCCATGGTAACATAATTCATCCGATATATGTTTTAACAAACTATTAGGAAGAGAACTTTTGCTATCTTCTTCATGTCGAACATCCGTCATCGTATCTATTATTAGGTTAATATTAAAAATTTCTCGTAACAACTTCAATATACAGTTCAGTATCAACTGACCCAAGTTTTATTTTTAAAGAAAACTAAGAACCCACATTAGTCAAACCATTTAATTAGATAAAATAGAAATTTTGTTTTTTGAAGAAAATAGCTGGAGAAGGAGTAAACACCTCACAACTGAACAATAAAAAGGAAATGACATTTCAACCTGTATTTTCCTCCTTTAATAATTTCTTTATCCGACGTCATTTTTTTACTATGCAGAAATTTCATAAAAATTTTTGAGATAAGAATGACAATATTTTGCATAAAATTATTTACAGCGTTTTTAAAACTCTATGATACAGAATATTCATTTTATGATACAGAATATTCTCTATGATACAGAATACTCATTTTATGATACAGAATATTCTCTATGATACAGAATATTCATTTTATGATACAGAATATTCTCTATGATACAGAATGTTCATTTTATGATACAAAATATTCTCTATGGTATAGAATATTCGTTTTATGATATAGAATATTCTCTATGATACAGAATATTCATTTTATGATATAGAATATTCTCTGTGATATAGAATATTCATTTTATGATATAGAATATTCTCTGTGATATAGAATATTCATCGTTTTTTATTTTTGCTTCTTTGCAAAATTATTCACACATCAAAAATTTTATTATAAAAAAAATTTGTGAAATATTTGTGCAGTCGTTATGAAAAATATCATGCAACATTTAACACCTGCAATATTTAATGTTACAGTTTAATGTTAAGTCATTTCAATGAATAATATTGGGCATCGTTAAACAACAGAAATTGAGTATCAGTTTTTCTTTTTCGCATTAAATCTTTCAGTATTTGCAATTGAAAACATTAATTAAAATGATAACCAATTAAACGGAGACATTCATTTTCAAATTTCAATCAAATAGAAAGCTAAGAGAAGAATGTCTGTAGCCAAAATTTGATTATTATGACGATTATTATGATTCAATTATTATTATCATTAGATGTATGATAATACCGATTATTATGGCAAACACTAGCAATCAATCTTCATTTAGCAATTTCTAATTTATTTCTTAAGGATGATAATAAAATTTAATAGTTTCCTTATTTGATTTAACATTGCAACAATATTTTTTTCAGGTCAATTAGATATTACATTTCGGGAATTCATTGAAATATGAAAGTGTGATACGTTATCTTATATTTATCATCAATCTTTATTTCAAATAAATATGCTTACAATAATAGAAATTTAAAGAAATAGTTGCATCGAATTTCCGCCTCCATCGTTGCATTTTTCGAAAACGAAAATGAATGAATTATTGGAATAAGAATTTTTATTTTTCTTCTTTGAAAGAACAAACAATGATTTTGCAAAGGAGAATTTGAATCATATAATCATATAGATATTCAAAATATTTCGAATTCAATACTGATATATTTTATATATTTATGGACAAATAAATGGGATTAAATTGAATTGAGTTGAGATAATGCAAATAAATTATATTCCATCAATAGGTGAAAGGATTTTTGCTCGTATATCGATTTTGCAACATAAAGACAAATTTTATCGTAGTTCAGGTTAGAATCCGAATAATTTTGTTAATTTCTCCATTAGTGCTATTGTTTCGCTTGGTCTTTAGGTTCATTCTTTGCAAATGGCGATAAAACCGGTTGTTGATCTTTCGCAGGAAATGGTTGTTGTGGTTCTTCACCAGGAACCGGTTGCAAATCTTTCTTCTCAGAAATTGGTTGTGATTCGCCTCCAGATAATGGTTTCAATTTTTTTTCGGGAACTAGCTCTGGCTGCAATTCCACGGTACTTGGTGTTATTGCACTTTCTTCTCGTTTATTCTTAAGAACAGCTTCTGATATTGCTTTTCGTTTTCGAGGTTGCGATAAATAAGGACGATAAATCATAGCAAAATATACTGATAGCATTTGTAATATCCATGCAGGAATGCTTGTAAGCAAAACTAATATCCATATCGTCCATACTGCAAAACACAATATCTTCAGTGAAATAATATTAAAAGATGATATTTTCAATTGACTTTTCAATATTTCTTTCGATCGATTATGTAGCAAAAAAGCATTATCGATTCATCATCCGCAACTGTATTTGAATCGAATTCCTACTTGAACAAATTCAATTTCCATTTTTTTGAACTGGACGATTGTGCATATGGATAAATGACCAGCATAATGGACCTTGTGATCTACTATGTTGTTTACTTGAAAGCGCTGATAAATAAGTTTGTGGAAATGTGGCAAATAAAAAAGCAGTTACAGCGATAATAATGCGATATTGAGAGTATACAAACTGCAATGCAATAAAGTCTTAGTGACCGCAAAAAAATCGATAATGTCATCATTCATCGGTAATGACACATTTCTTTTAGTTATTCAAGAATTATACCAAACTCCAAAAAGTAATAAAATGTTTTGTCCTAATTTGATTTGATTACCTAAAAGGTATGCTAGTGAAGAAATTGAAATTAATCAATTAAAATTAATAACACGAAAGTTTTCCATAATGCAAATGAGATTGATGAATAAATGAAATTTTTAAAAATATAGAATTATTAATTTAATTTAGCAGTTGTTTGATAAAAAATACCAAATATCTTTTTCAGAAAACTTTTCAGATAAATTTTATCGAATTGAATTTTATTATAAAACTACGAAAATATCAAATATCTACCGCAGAAATCATATAGGCGTTCAATAAATCTCGTCGTTTAAGAATGGCAGCAAAGATAAGTACTAATAAGATGAATAAAACAGCTAGTATTTCCAAACTAGCAAGCACAACCGTTGGTATATGCTCAGTAAATTTTTGTATTACCAATATATTTGTACCAATGATTATGGTGCATGCAAAATAAGCTATCACCAATGTTTTATACTGCAATTTAAATATTTACTGCTTTCATTCTAACATCCAAATTACTTTTGGATCATCATTTTACATTAGGTCAAAGTGTTAGTATACAAGAAATTTCCTAATTGAAAAACTTAAGTTCAAACTTTTTGTAAATTTAAACAATGGAAAATTTCTAGTCTTAGTCTTATTGATCTTTAATAAAAACTAACATTGTGATTGTTATCAAAATTTTGCAATAATTATTGCAAACAACATTTGTAATTTTGTTTAGTTGTGAGAAAAACAAATGATAGAATTAAAGAAATAATTTCTTCTCAATAGTAAATAAATTTTAAAATTTAATAAATTATTAACTCGCTTTATTAACTATGAAATACAATTGCATAAATACCATATGCCATCTTTCGCGATTACACTTCCATTTCCTCCAAATTTTAATCAGAAAATTCATTTCGACGCAACAACTAAATAAGTATATAT